CACAGAATTAGTTCCTTGTTTTTTCTTCAAAGAATGCGTTCTCATGTCCTGTTCCACAAGCTCGCCACGAGCAGCTGTGGGGTGCAATTTTCTGCCAAAACTACTTTGTCGTCTTATCTGACCTCATTTTGCTTTTTATTTGCTTTTTCATGGCATTGGATTGCAGATATTTTGATCTCTGTTGGGTTTTCCCTACTTCCCTTCCCCAGATTTCTTTTCTTCTTCAGTTTAATCTTGATGGACAAGCGAGAAAGTGAACTAAAACATCGTGAAACTTTGTCCCCTAGATTTTCTAGACTTCAGAATTTCATAAGGAGTTCCGAATTTCATAAGGGTTTCCTTAAACTGCGTATAAATACAATTTTGGCGAAACAAATGACAAACGTAAGGCAGAATGAAAAGAAATATTTTGACTTAAATCATAATTCCAACAAAACTATCTGTATAAAAATGGTGAGCCTTCTGTGCATTTTAAACACAATTTTCTCTAAAATTGATCTTAAAAATATTATTTCACCTACCATTTTTGAGATACTGCTTGCTTTTTATAAGAAAGAGGCATCTGTAATTAGGAAAAGGCAAAGTTATTGAAATTAGTTTTGTCATATGATAATTATAAATTTCAGTCTTACAATACGTTAGGTACATATCATAAAATGCAGTAGCCATGAGAAAGCTTTAATGACTGTGAACGAAGTTATTATTATCACAGTAGTCAAGGATTAATGAGTGTGTTATGGGGAGTCTTTAACAAAAGTGTGCGTTTAAATTTCGGTTTGTTATTTGTACATTTCTCGGTTTGCTAACATGATGATTAGACCTAGAAGCTGAATAACAATGTTTTGATCATTTAAGTCGGAAAACGGATTCGAGACAAATACCATTATAAATAAACGCGTGTGCAAATGCAAATTTGTCAGAATTTTTTATTGGGAAGTTAATATCATGTATTATGATAGGATTATTATTTAATATGCCCAGTCTTTACTTGTAGGGTCAATATCATCTGCATCGATTTTTTTCATAAAAATAAACGAAGTTATTGATTTTTCTGTACCTTAGTGTGTGACACATTTATCATAGGAAATGATCATGGAAGGAATGCAGAGGAAAATGTGGTACAAATCTTGCCATATCGTGGCACTCCCCTCGGCATATATATAACGTAGTATCTCGAGATAGGAGGACAAAATCGTTGTAAGTTTGAAAATTCACCAGATCAACTCAACTGAGAAAACGCTATATCATTGACTTATCCAAAATAAGTTTAAGGATAATTTTTACTTTTCAGTGGAAATTAATTGATTGCTGTTCCTGTAGCTGCAAACGTGTAGAAACTTAATGACAGATCATCATTCCTTCAGAATAGAAGCTATGAAAATCACGAGTCGGCTATCTGAGGCAATTTACAGGTTATGGCATTACTGATATTTGCTGCATGTATTTAAGCAAATGGAATATTCGAGCCGGGAAAAACTTCGTCATAAAAAATTCTTTACTCGTATTACGCATACTGAGAAAGTATAGCATGTAAAAACCTAATAAGTAATTAAATGATTTATTTATTTCAGCTTTAATTAAAACATTCATTTTAACATTAAATTCATTTAAAACAGAATGTTAAAAAACTGATTGTTAAGACTGTAAATAAAATGGCTGGGGATTTTAAAAGTTATTTCTTGGCAAACATTAGTATATATCAAGGGTGGCCAAAGTGCGGCTCGCGAGTCTGATACGGCCCTCGCAGGCAATTCGTGCGGCTCGTGCATATAAAATATATGTATGAAATATGGTAAACTAAAACTATTCAGTGTCCAAAAGGAAGTAATTAATTAGTTTAGGCTCTTTTTACAAATTTATCAGGGATTTCTTTCTATTTAAAACCTCCTCCACTACTTCTATAATGATGTAAATATAAACTTGTGGCTTTTAGAAAATCTAGATGCGGCTCTCGAACATTCCTGAATTCAAACGTGCGGCTCTTACTTACATGAAGTTTGGCCAACCCTGGTATATATACTTGATTTTAATAAAATTAGAGGGCGATAATGAATGATAAATGTCATTAATGGATTTAGCAACATGAAATCTGAAATAAAATACCCAGAATCGTATCAGAGAATAAAACGGTTTTAAACGCAGAACAGTGTAATTTATTTCCTTCAAACCGGACGTACTTCTTGCCTGGTGAGTTTGGTTAGTTAATATTTGTAGTTAGTTCAATGTGAGGTTTCAGTAGCTGAGCTGAATGGCTGTATAAGGCCTTTTGATTGACCTCTTCTGTGGGTATGCAATCGATTAAACATTTGAGAGCTGGGCCATATGAAAATACGACACAGTTCTTCATGAACGGGCCCTTCTATAGCAGATAATCTCTCGACTGTTTTGCCGTAAAAAAGAACCTTTTTATCATAACCAATAATACTGTTAATGTAGATGCAATTTCCCTTTACTTTTTCTACAGGTTGCAAATCAGAACATTGTCGAAACATCAGATATTCGAAATCCAAAGAATACGAACATTTTAGCATACGAACATGTTTTGCCATATTATATCAGTCAATGACCTGAATAATACACGATATATATCACTTCCGAATGAGCTCGAAAGCTGTATAATGTTCTTTATATGTACAAAAGGTAGCAAAAAGACAAATAAACTTGTTTTCAAAATGTATAAAAAAAATCGAAACAACGAATTACACATCGTATACAAGAATTATATTTATAAGTGATAAAATCCTGAGACATTTGCATAAAATTCTTAGCATAAATTCTCTTTGGTAGTCATTTAAATACTTTTACGGAGGGTGCGATAATTGATATTAATAATATCATTGAGATGGAAAGAGAAAAGCTGAAATGAGTGCACACGAATGACTGTAGGATGTCTGAACTATATAGCTTTTTCTTTCCAAGGATTTCTAGCGAATGTTTCGGAAAATTATACAGTTCTTTGAAATTCCTGAATGATTATGTAAATTTAGGAAATCTTATTTACTTAAAATTAAACAAATCATAATAAACAAAAAATATAAATCTGTAATCCTTTACAATGCATTTTTATAATTAAATAATCAAATTATAGCAGAATAGTTAAGCATAGTATCTATTGCAGTGCTGACATTCATAAGAAGAGAAATAGGTTTGTTTTTAGTGTTTATCTTTTGCAGTTTTCTTTGTATTTTGCTTACTATGAAATCCATTTATACCAATTACATTTGCTTATAATTTTTTTTGTAGTTTCTTTTTCATTCATGCTTTGAAAGCTATTCTCTCAATAGTTATTAAGACCCGAGTAACCTCATCCGGCCACTTAAAAACTTATAACCTTACATTTAACAAAAATATATGAACCTTTGACATTCTTCCTTTCATGATCTGCATAATTTGCATATTTTGTGCAAATTATGCAGATCGTGAAACCTTGAGCATTCGTATCCCTTTTGTGCTAAATAACATATAACTGTCATAAAATGGTATACCTTAATGTGATTTTTATCGCTTTTTCGTTCGATTAATATCTCTTTTACAACTACCAATAACACATAAAGGCGTAACTCTATGTTAACACCACTTTTCACAGCCTCTCTTTTTCTAATAATAATAATACATTTACTATATCAACTTTTGTTTGCCCTTAACTGAATATAGTCCCGTAAAGCGAATATACGGATAAATTCGCTCTTGATTTTGCTTTCAACTAAAAATGAATCAGTAGGAGATTTTTCTCGTAAAAGTGTAAAAGAATGGTGAGCTCTATCTAATCAGTGTAGAGATATTATATTTAACTATTGTAAAAATGTATAATTCAGTATTAATTGGTGAACCCAAAAAAAATCAAACTTTTATCCCCTCGTTCATTCCACAAGATAGACGTACTTCAGTGCATCATTCACTCTGTGCAATAATGTAAAGTAATGCAATTGTGTGGAATGTTGTTGGAAAAATCAGAACTAATTTTAAATTCAGTTTGTTTCGAGTCTTGAAGCATACACGGGATAAAACCAACGTTGAAAAATCACAAAGCTAGTAATGATGATCATAAAAATCTTAGGGATTTAAAAGTTTATTTTTAAACACATCTACATACTAAGTTTCATCAGACTTTTTTTATCTTTTATTTCAGAGTTAGATTTCTTTTATCTCTGTTATATTTTTTTCTGAGAATGTAAATTATGAGTAATTAACATATTCAATGATAAACTATAGTATGTAATTTTTGAGTTGCACTAGAATCCTGTTTAAGCGAATATGGCGTAATTAAAATCCCCCTTAACAGAGAATGGAGGGGAAAATAATTTTGAATCAATAGATCGAAATATCGATTATTTTTTCACATCAACTGTTTTAGTTTTACATATTTCACCGAGAAATATTTATTTACGAAAACGGTAAGTAGCCATATTATATTTTATAATGAACTGCTAATTTTTTCCAATGTATTAATTTCAGGTATGTGGTATTCAAGTATTCATTATGATGAATTTATGTAAATTAAAATAAGCATAGTACTTTGAAATTTTCTTGGAATTTATTAATTGTAAAAAAAGAAAAGAAAAGGAGAAAGAGAGAGAGATTTAACGATTGCAATAGGTTATTTATAAGTTACTGCAGTTCAATGTAGGTGAATTTTGCCATTCCGCATCAAACTTTGTCAAAAGATTATCCCTGATATTGACGTTATTTCAGAAGAAGATTTCCATACCTGGAAAACTAGAAGTTATTTATGTTCCTTACGGTCTTGCAAATACCCATGGGCTGAATTACGGCACATAGCTAATTTGTGCTAAATCTTCTTAGAACTACATCTGCAATACATTTATTTAGCAATTTAAAAATCATGCTGCAATAACACTTTAACCGTTGTTTTGTAATTACACTTCCACAATATTTCTTTTAAACGACTTAAATGAAAATGATCTTAAAAATTACATTCTGTTTAAGAAGCATACATTTGAAACAGCATGTGTTTAAAGATGAACTGTTTCTATTTTTAGAAACGTTCGACCATTGATTTTCAAAAAGGGAAAAGGAAGAATGAAAGAAAAGAAAAAAAATGTATTATCTTCAGAAATCAGTTCTGATAGCAGGTATTGTGTAGTAAAAAGGTCCTATGATTAAACTTTCTGTCTTGTGAGTTTGAAATATTTCTTTATTGAACTGTTTTCCTATTTTAGTGACCCCTTCGCCATTCTGCGAATGGATCACATTACTTATGCATCAATCTAATTTACTAAATAAAGAAAAATAAATTATTGTCATTTACTTTCGTTCCAGAAAGAAGACCTCAAATTCGAACACAGTCACGCGATTAATATACTCGAAATACTGAGAACAGAAGGACTATGCTAAATATTCTAAATATGTAATATAATACCTCCAACTGAAATCCGCTTACTAGTAATATTTTTCCTGGAAAGCTGTTGAAAACCCAAGTTAAGCAAGGAAGTATTAAAGTATTAAACCGTTGGGTGATGTACATGCAAAAGTAATGCAGTTCGCTATAAATATTCCGAAATATTTACTTTATATCGCTGCTGTTCCTTTTATTTAGCTACCTGAATTTAGATGTCCTGAACAACTATATAGTGCGTGTCCATCATCCTGCCTTTATTTTCGTGACCGTTAGTAGTAGACTGTTACAAAACTTGAAATTTAAAAAAGTATTTTAAATGGCGCAAATATTCATAGTTTGGTATTCTTAAATTTAAAGAAATCAATCATGTAAAAATGAAATTAACTTTTACGTGATCCCCCGGTTCGGATACTTATATTTAGAAAAACTTTTGTACTATAATAAAAATTAAAAATGAGAAAATATTTCATTTCTCATATGACCAAAATTGGTTGACAAATTTAATTTTAAAATTTTCGATTTTGGACGTCATTTTCAAATTTCCTTCAGGGATCAGTTAGTAAATAAATTAGAATAATTCGAATTTAACTTTATTTTATTTAAAGGCCAATTAATGAATACTCTTTTGCGATTTCGTGACATGTGACATTCCATAATTCATAATTTTGATACACATTGTATACCGAAAGAATTTTTACATAAGAATTTTTACATAAGAAATTTTAAAAGTTTTCAAATCCTAAGAATATGTTATTAATATTTTCATGTAGTTTTATTACTTAACACAGAAAAAATCATAGGAAATGTTCGGTAAAATATTTTTAATTTCTTATTTATGAAAGTGATACTAAAAATTAGGTATGTGACAACAGTGAAGCCTCCCTGCGTTTTCTACTCTGACTACCAATAAGTATTTGGACACCTATGCAAATGACGATATCTGCGGTTCTAAGGTACGTCACGGACTCCGCCGGTATATATCGTGTAGGAAAGAGCATCGGCTTTAGTCGCATGCAAGATGCCTCGCAGTTCGGAGCTCTCTGATTTCGAGAAAGGTATAATTATCGGATTTCACAAATGTGGTCGATCCTTAAGGGACATATCTAGCGATCTGAAGTACCCAAAATCGACAGTGGCTTATGTGATTAAGAAGTGGAAGGTGAGCGGTGATTGTCGGAATGTGCCCCGGAGTCGGCAGACCAACGAAACTGGGAGATAGAGACCGGCGAGTGCTGTCCAGAGAAATTCGGAAGAACCGCACCCAACCGATGGCCCTCATCCGCGAGGAGTTTCAACAGGCATCCGGGAGTATTGTTTCAATGAATACCATCCTAAAGGTAGCACATCTGCTTGGTTTTCATGGTCGTGCTGCTGCCCATAAGCCTTTGATCACAAAGTCCAACCGCGCTGCTCGGTTAATGTGGTGCAAAACACATCGAAATTGGACCGTAGATCAGTGGAAACGGGTTCTTTGGAGTGACGAATCAAGGTTCACCCTTTACCGTTCGGATGGCAGGGTCTGGGTCTGGCGTCTACCTGGAGAACGTCTCCTGCCAGAGTGCATTGTGCCAACAGTCAAGTTCGGCGGAGGTGGAATTATGGTCTGGGGGTGTTTTCTCCTGGTATGGGCTGTGACCCTTGGTCCCCCATTCATAGTAAGCTCAACTCCGATGCCTACTGCACTATTTTGGATGACAATGTGCTTCCTACGTTGTGGCAGTTTTACGGGTTGGACCCCTTTACTTTCAGGACGACAATCCAGTTTGTCATGTTTCGGTCGGTTCGGCGTTAACCAAGGCTTGGTATGGTGCCAATGGAGTTCATCGAATGGACTGGCCTGCCCAGAGTCCAGACCTGAACCCTATCGAGAACCTCTGGGACGAGTTGCTCACCGAATTCAGGGGTGCACTACCCTTGCAAAATCGGTGAAGGAACTTCTATGTTTTTTCTCCAAGCCGAGTGGAAGAAAATACCACTAGCTGTCACACAAAGACTTGTGGAAAGTATGCCCCGGAGGGTCCACGCTGTAATTACCTCTCGTGGAGGCTCTACCAACTATTGATTTTGAATAAAGTTAGTTTTCCTTTTCTATGACAGGTGTCCAAATACTTATTGGTAGTCAGTGTAGAACACGAATTCTGTAAGAATTTGTTAACAAAATTCTTTTTTTGAAAAACATTATATTGATCAATACTTTTCACAAAAATATGCATAGCAATTTCCATCACTTAATTTATATGCATAACCCTTTTTTACCGAACTTTTAATTTGTTTTAGCTAATCGCAAATGCAAACACTTATTCTTCAATTTATGTACCGTCCTTGATTAGGATTTCTAGTTTTAAAAATAAGTATCTTGGTCAATTTTTATCTTAAGAGAGTCACACCTTTTGCATTTTGTTGTGTTTAATAAGTATAAAATTTTCCTGAATATTATTATATGGACCGAAGCAAAATATAGAAAGTTAGATTTCAAGATTTTACAAAACTGTTGTTTTTTTTTTTTTTTTTTTTTTTTTTTTTTTTTTTTTTTTTTTTTTTTTTTTTTTCTTAATTTACGAACTCTAAAACACGAAAAATAAACTAAGGGGAATTTGTAGAAGACTTTCTAAGGTAAATTGGCTCGTAGCGGCGTACGTGGAGAAAACCACAGAAACGCCTATGTAGCCTCCGCTGGTATTTGAACATATATTTCGAATTATTAGTGTTTAGCAACTTTACCCTCCAGCCTGTAATGAGCCAAGTGGGTAAAGACTTTTGTTGTCAGGGTTTCTACTGCTTTTTACATCGAGTTAAATTTTAAAATTTTAACAGCTTTTGGTATACAAGAATGTAATTATTTTTATCATTATGCACCGTCGCCATTTTTCATTAAGGTAGTCTTTGCATTCGATTTTATTTTTATTAGTAATTCTTTATTTTATTAGTAATTCTTTATTTTATTAGTAATTCTTTATTTTATTAGTAATAGCTTCAAAGAATCATCTTGTGTAAGCAATCCATGTTTGATAATTCTTTTAATTTCTTAAATATTTAGATTTCTCATGGTTCAGCTACATAATTATCGTTATTTCTGCAGTTAAAGAACTGATCATCCCAAGCTATAAACAGTTCCAAACAAAAGTTTTAACAAGTTAATAAAATGGCAAGCTTATTTACCTGTGGCATGTATTCATCACTTAATTATAAAAGCTTTGCTTGGTTCAGAAGTATGAAAATGATTTTTCTATGTTAATACCAATGTACGATCAAAATATAATTTAGACTAGGGCATACTAAATTATAACTCAGAGACAAAATGGCATACCAGCCTGCTTTCTGAATTTCTAATATCTACGCAGATATAGTTAATCCTTTCTTCAATCTGGTTGAATTCCATCGTTTAAAGTCCTGAAATGAGATTCAGAATGGACTCGAAATATCGGTGACAATTTTAATTGTTCTAGCACATAGAAAAAGAACAAACTGGTATTTTTCTCTCAAGCCAAAATAAACTGAATTTAGTATTTGAACCTCTTGTTTCCTGTTTGAATTAATATAAAGAATGTAACTTCTATGTGCTATCGTTAGCTTCTCCTGTCCAGCTCTAGATCCTAATTTTTAATGGTACGTAATTTACAAAAAAAATTAATAAATAAACGAATTATTGTTATTATTTTCTAGGCTTATCTGTTCTTGTTGAATATAGTGCTAGAACTCAACACTTCACTTAGCGTTAGCTATTTAGCTATCTATTGTAAAAAACTAAATATTTAAACTTGAAACATGAATAAGGTAAACTTTATGTATTTTCCCAAAACTAAAACTTCACATATTTTCCCTAGCATTTAGAAATTCTTCAGCTACATTTATGGTGGAAATTAGTGAATCAACTCAATATAAAAATTACCACATTTATTTCGCTTTTCTTTTTTAATCTAATAGAGTGCTTGACTCTTGTCAAGGAACTCACAGGAATCTTGTCCAAACTTATTCGGCTTCTTTTAGGAACAATTGATCCTTTTTACCAGTTTCTAATAAAGCAAAGAAATAGTTATTTGCACTAGTTCTTATGCTAGAAGTACGATAAATAAATAAAAAATTCCTTGTAGTTTCATTTACAGTTGTAATCCGCTTGAGAATTTCTACGTAAGCTTTCCTGTAATTAAATTCTACCTATAAATAGAATAACCTTTTCTCGAAACAAATTGTTTTACTCTTGGCTTATTAATTAACGTAAAATCTTTAGTGAAAGAGAAATTCCCTTCAAGCACAGCAGCAAATTTATGCGGCATATCTAATTTAAGTATTTTCCTTTTACAATGTTACAATGTTCTAATAGCTACATAAAAAGATGTGTCAATAAAATCGTGGCTCCGAAACCAAAAATATATTCATTTAATATTATATTAAAACCGCCTTTTTAAATCTAATTCATTAACTAACATCAAACTTTTATTACTTCTCTCAAAACTTTATTAGTTTATTCCAAACTATGACCCTTACCTATTTAATTTCGTAATATAGCTGAATATGGTGTTTGCTTTCAACCAAGGGTAGCTTAGTGTTTCTAATGTAAACTTTTCGCATCTAGTTTCACTTTTCCCGTGTTGAAGATACTTTCCTACTTGTTTTGTTGTATGTAACTTCTATTTAGAATCCGTCTTGTATTTTTGTTCTAAATATTGGGTGACAACTTTCAGAGATAATTGAAGTTTGATTTTGGCTGTGCGATTTGTTTTCAGACTGACAATAACCCGGAAGGAAGAGAACATTACAATTTGATAATGGCATGCTTTAAG